GCCAGGAGTGCCTTCAAGCTCCTTTGGAGAGAAAGCTGCGCTGGGGGCGGGCGCCGCCGCCTGAGGCCGGTAGCTGCCTGCGGTGCGTGCGGTGGGTGAGCTGCGCGCTTGCAGCCTCGGAACGCCCGGCACTTACCTTAAATGCCGGACACCCATCGTATTCGTATCGCGACGGGAAAAGCGCTCAGGCCAGCTGACCGAACTGAAGACTGAATGCGTGTTGAAAACTCAGGAGCCAATTAACGCGTTCAGGACCAAGAAGATCGCCTAACACTTTGGTCCCTCCGGAAGGGCTGTATCTTGCGCGCGCGCGTGCGTGAGTGAGAACGCACAGGACTGCCACGGAGGCTCCCTTGGGTGATTTGGGACCAGTCGCTTTCTCTCAGCCCCCCTGCCACACAAGGTGGTGGTGGTGGTGGTTGTAGAAAAAATGGGAGGACGGACCGATGTAGCCTGCTCTGAGCTCTTGCAGGAAAAGCAGGGAAATAAGACTACCCCGCAAGTGAATCAGGGAGAATGTTCCATTTTCGGGGGGTTACCCTGTATGGGAAAACTGCTCCTCTTGTACTTTGAGCCTGTGAAATAAAAACTTGCTTATAAACATCTTTAGCAACATGAATGTCCTTAGGGATGCTGGATTTCTGACTCCTGGATTTGTTTTTATATAGGCTAGTTTAGCCAGCTTGTTCTCAAAAATTCTGGCCTAGACTCTCAAGTGATTTTTTTCTGAGCTAGAGGCACACTTTTAATCTAGCCCTCCTTATCTGTGCTCATCTGTAGCAAGCCAAGAACAAGAATGTAAGGTTGCATGGATTGTGTGGTCTGGCCCCAAAGAGCCATCCTGTGTTTGATGTTTCCGTTGGTCTGCTTTCCCCCCAGACTAACTGCCATTTCTGTCTGAAGCACAGCTCCCCTGGAAGTCATCCCCCTTGCATAGCAGCAGAGCTTAAAAACAGCCTCTTGCTGGCACCTGTGGACCTTTGCAGGCATCAGGTGATCTCAGAGGCCCACACCAATCCATTGCTTGGGGTTCGCCAACTTGTTTTCTGGGAATTATCAGAAGTTGTGCAAGAGTAAGGAGATGTTAAGCATGTGTAGGAATTTCCATACCCTCCCTTGAGCGCCCATCCCCGCATTAGTGAGGATTTTTTTTTCTTTTTTTGACTCTTCCAAGAATACTCAGTGGGGGGAGAGTAGGTGGGGAGGAAAGTAGGAGAGTAGAAGGTAATGAATCAGAATTTGGGCTTGGCTGTTTGTGTGAGATTTGCCTGCTGAAACTACACCTTTTCCTGTGGGCACCTTAGAGTAGTCAAGTTCTCATGTAAGTTCTGCTGTCAGAAGGGGCCCATAGTCAGCCCCCATCACCTTCCTGATCCATGGGGCAAAATAAACGTGTTGTTGAGAACTTGAGGATTAGAGGGCTGAGCACCCAATGGCAGGCTTGCACCTTGATTTCTTTGGGGCCTGAGGAGAGTAGGGTATATTGTGCGTAAAGTAGGCATCTTAGCTGAAATGCAGTTATGTGGTTAGGAAGTGGTTGTCTGCTGGAAGCTGCTGGAGGACTTGAGTGAATCTGGTTACCCTTTTTCACCCTTTAGACATTGAAGTAGTTGGAAAGAAAATGACACTTGGCAAATCCATGTTGAAACATGTCTGTTTGTGCCCATATTCTTCCTTTGCTCCATTCTGCTAATAAAGCCAGGGTTAATCATTGAGAAAGCTGCTACTCGTGTCTGCCCAGAAGTTATAAATTGGTGCTAAGAATGGTCTTGATCCCATGTTGTTGGGAAGGCCCAGCACAGGTGCCTTGAAAGCAAGGGCTCTGAGACAAGGGAACCTGCTTAAATTGAGTGGGGGGTGATGTGGCTTCCTTGGGGGTGTATTTTGGAGAAGCGTCAAGAGAAATGCTCAATGCTAAGAGGGTGACTGACTCGGAATTAAATTCCAAATGAGGTCTGGGTCATGAGTGTAAGGAGGCATGAAAAACTCTAAACTGCAGGTTCCTAAAAGCCTATTCAAGTGAATGTCTAGAGGCAGCTCTTTAACTAATTGAACCAGAGCGAACAAAGGAGATGGGGTCCCAATGGGAGTCTTCGCATATTTAGCTCAGAAAGCCAAAATCTGAGTGGAGGGCAAGGGAACAGAGGTTGACCAACAGCCCACCAGGTGACCTGGTAGGTCTCTGGTGTGCCCCACTGCTGGCACTGTGCCCAGGGAGGCCTCTTGGATACCTTGCCATGAGGCAGGTGGCCTGAACTTCTCTCCTCCTGGAGATGCCTGTGCTATATCAGTTACTCTGCCAGAATAGAGAGCTCCTGGTTGTCCTTTGCCACGCACATACCCATCCACTCGTCCAGGCAGAACCTGTTCCTTGGTCAGAGTGGCATTTCCTTGAATTACAGGAATGGCTGTGATCTGTTCCTTAAGCCCAGCCTCCAAAGAAGGGGGTTTTGTTGGCTCGGTCAGTTAATAAGCTTGCTCTGCTACAAGGTTGGTTAAAATGTGAAGGCTGGAGGTCACTGTTGATACAGGGCCAGACCAGGAGCACCCAGTGCTGTGAAATTAAGTGATGTGGCTGGGCAGAATATCCTCTGTTCTCCAGCTCCCCTGACTGCTTCTGCTGGCTCATCTCTCCACTGACTCTTCAGCTTTGGAAACAGAGGTCCCGGGTTCAGTCCCTGATGCCTTCAGCTGGAAACCAGGACATTCTCTGCTGGAGAGCTTGGGGAGACATATACAACAGGCAGCAAAGAGTTCCCTTCTGACTGGGCTTTTGGATCACTTCTGGCCGGAGCATGGAGATGAGAGAGTCAAATGTAAACAGTGGCTGCCCACAGAACAAATGGGATCAATACCTTTCCCTGCACTGCTGTGTCAGCAAGGGAGGGTTTGGGGTCAGTGTACAAGTGGCTGTGCTCTCGAGGGCTTTCCATCCCGCATGCCCCTGGTTCTCCCAGCTTGCTGCCTGTGTGGATTGCATCATTCTTGTTCACTTCAGCCAGTGCTTGTGGGAGATCATGGAGAGATTCAGAGTTTAGGTGATATTTGGTTCAGAAAGCAAGAGAAGAGCCTTGGGTGGAGGTGGCTGTCTGGAACCCATTTTATCCCCCCCCCTTTTTTTTTTTGCAAATGTGTTTCCTTTTCTTGGCAAACTTGTTCATTTATTTATAATAGGTTTTCAACTTTCCTTTTTTCTGTAAGCTCCAAATGAGATTTAGTCCCAGGGCTCCAAAAAAAGTAATAACAAAGAAGGTATAATGCAGAATGGTTTGAGGTATGTGCTTTATTTACTAAATTGGTAGCCACTTAACAGAACACAAACTCTGAGTGGTTCACCTATACAAATGCGTCTGTGTTGCGTGGCAAAGGGTCCTTATTGCGAGGGAACCAAAGTCCTGGTCTTCTGGCCTTGCAGCCTCACTTGGATGGCTTCTGGCTGCGCATTAGCAAGGGGCCGGGGGTGGCTTCGCTGAGTCGATGCACCCGCTCCCATGGCAGGCCTGTGTGTCCCCTGCAGGGAAGACTGCGGAGCCCACCCGGTGTACCCTGCCCCAGGCTCCTCTCGCCGCCTCGGCTTGAGTTCCTCACCACGCTCCTGGTGGGTGTCTGGGAACAGCTTCCTTTCTTGCATTTGTCTTGGGTTCGGCCTCTCCTTTGGGTCCTTCAAAAGTGGGGACTGAAGCCCCTCCCATCCCAAAAGAGGGCAGCTCGTAGTCCGTCCTATAGAGCCTTGAGCAGTGGGGGGTTGCGCCTCTGCCATGCATGAGGAGGCCCCTCGCCTGGGCTCAGGAACTCGGGAAATGGTGCTTCAGGATGGTAACTCCCCTCTGGCCCACTTGGGTCCCATTGGCTGATGTGGAGCACGGCCTCTGCCATGTCTTGGTTTCCTCTTCTCCCCATTTTGTGGCTGGTGGGGGAGGAGGTCTAGTCTGAGCCTGGCACTTTCCTTTTGCTTCCAGGCGCTGCGCAGTTGACGACACCCGCTCTTCGTCCCCTGGAGCTCACCCTCATGCTTCCTCGGGCTGACTGAGCCCTGCTGGGCAGAGCGAGGGCCTCCCCTGGCTGCCCAGCTTGGCTGTTTCCTCCTGGCTTTCATGGATCTGAGGCTCCCCTTGCTGCTTTTGTGGTGGGCTCTGACGGCGTCCCTGGCCCTCCTGGTCAGAGAGGGACTCAGCCAGCACGTCTACACCAACACCTGGGCTGTCCTGGTACCTGCAGGTTTGCAGGAAGCTGAACGGATGGCCAGGAAGCATGGCTTCCTCAACCTGGGACCGGTGAGTTACTTCCTTGCAGCATTCGTGTGTACAAGAGCAAAGGGGTTGTACTCTGCATGGGAGGTCTGCGCCACTTCTGAGGGAGGGGCCTGCAGAGGGTGCTGTTCTGCCTGCTGTGGGGCCTTACAGGGATGAATTCCCTTGGGGATACCAGAAGTGCCAAAGAAGCAGCCAGTGTGGAATGGTTGCTTGAGATCCTGACTTGTAGGTCCTGATACTTGGAGCGATGGAGGAGTCTTCTCCGCAGCACTCGCTGCCCCCCGGCAGCATTTGGAGCAATTTGCTTTCCCTGAATTCATTCCTGTGCTGGCTTCTCCTTTTGGAAGCAGGTCTCAGTTTTCTGTTTGGGTACCCAGTCTGGTGCCGGGTCGTTGGGCTGTCTGTCTGCCTTTGCCAGTCATAAGTGCCCCACAAGTAAGAAGGGGCAGTGGCATCCTTTAGGAAAGGACATTTGAGGTTGGCTTTTTGGAAATAGCTCTTTCTGGATGACTAGTCAGCTATCTCTGTTCTGGCAGGCTCTTATCTTGGCAGTGATGATGTTGGCAGACGGCCCAGCTGCCCAGTGTTGATGCGGGACTTATGCCCGCTTGCCTTGGCAAGCAATGTGGCCGGCAATGGCAGTTCCCACCCATTGTGCTTGTGCTGAGGGCCAGCAATGGCTCACACATCACCTACCATGTGAGGAAGAGGAACAGTGCTTACCTGAGGCTTTTCCAGGGGCTGTTTCATGCCACATCAGGAGTCCTAAGTCACTTGAGAGACAAAGACCTTTATTTAATGAACTTTTGAAGATCACTGCTTTTTCTTAGATGTGTGGAGCATTGTCTTGAGAAAGGAGTGTTATGTAAGACATGATCATTTACAGTGTTCGCACACAGAGGAGGAGAGGAGAGAACGAGAGAGCTGAGAGATGGTTGCGATGCAGCTGGGGAGTGTCGGTGGGGTAAGAAGCCTTGGTCTCTTCTGAGTCCAGAAGAAATGGGGTTACATCACCTACTGAGTGGCAGCTTTGCTGTTTTGTGATGAAATCTCTGTTTTGTTTTACAATTATCTTGAGGTTAGAGAGAGTGTCCTCTGGAGATAAGTCCCCCTACTGCTGGTGTTTGCAATGCCAATGGCTTCACTGGGTTAAGATTAGACAAGAATGAAATATACTGCTCATTAAAGTCACACTTTCTTTATAGTCTGAGTCTTAGGGTTATCTTAGCTTTTCTCTTTCAACCCCCCCCCCCCATTCCATTTTGAAGGATGAGAAATTTAAAATAATGGGTAGAAGTATTGAATGTCACTAACACATGCACTTCTAAGTCACTCTGAACGTTACAGATACTTCAAGGGAATTACCAAATGGAGGCCCACGAGGTACGGTCCTGGTCCCTGCGCTGTTCAACATTTTTATCAGCGTTCCAGATGAGGGAGTTCAGGGAACACTTATTAGATTTGCAGATGATACAAAGCTGGAAAAGTGGCTGATACGTCAGGTGAAAAACAGAGCATTCAAACAGGTCTAGGTAGGCTTGAGCAGTGGGTTGAAATGAATAAGTTCCGTATCTGAGTAGGAAACATGCAAGGCACAAATACAGGATTGGGGAGACCTGGAGCATGAACAGGAGCATTGAGCCCAGATCCTGGAAGCAGCGTTTCACTCCACTTTGTCCTGGCTGGAGTTGGGAAAGCCTGAAAAATGAGATATTAAGACCCAAACACAAACTATATCAAAGAGAAAGAAAAATGGGAGATACACAGAGCCCAGCCTGGTTGCATAAAGAACTCTCTGATAAACTGGAAAACAAAAAGGAGAAGCTTAAAAAATGGAAAGTGGGGTATATAAGAAAATCAGGGAATAGCCATAATCTGTAAGGATGGAGTCAGGAAAGCTAAGGTTCAGAATGAGCTGAGGCTTGCAATGAGCACCAAAGATAACCAGAAAGTTTTTGAGGAAAGCTAAGGAAGCAATTGATCTGCTGGTTGGAGAAGTCAGCGAGATGGTGACAGGCAACGGGGAAAAGACTGAATTGCTTAATTCCCATTTTGCATCTGTCTTTTTGCAAAAGTAAAAGTTGGTCCAACTTGTCAGAAGGTGCACTATGGGGGGCAGAAGATCAAACGTAGGTCAAAATAGTCAGGAAGTGATGAGAGAATACCTCGCTGCTTTGAATGAATTCAGTTCTCTGTGACCAAACGGATTATATCCTAGGGCACTAACGAAACTGGCAATGGGATCTCAGAACCACAGACTGTAACTTTTGAGAACTTCTGGACTGAAGTGCCAGAAGATTGAAGAAGAGCTAAATTTCTTCCCATGTTTTTAAAAAAGGGAAAAAAGTGGGCCCAAGAAACTATAGACCCGTCAGCTTGACATCAGTATCTGGGAAAATCCTAGAAAAGATCATCAAGTAGTGGGTTATAAGCACTTGCAAAGGAACAAGGTGATTACTAGCAGCCAGTGTGGATTTGTTAAAAACAGGTCATGCCAGCAAATTTGTCTTTTTGGACAAAGTGGCTAGATTAGTAGAGCAAGGGAATGCTGTGGATGTTCTGTGCTTAGACTTCAATAAGGCATTTGATAAGGTTGATGAGAACCTCCTTCTTGATACAATGGAACTGTGTGGGGTGGATGGACCCACTACCAGATGGATTCCTGTTGAACAACTGTATCCAACAAGTGGTCCTGAATGGATCTATGTCTACAAGGAGGGAACTATGCAGTGGGGTATTTCAAGGTTTTGACCTGGGCCCAGCCCTCTTCATTATTGTCATAAATGACTCAGATGAGGGGATAGAAGGGATGCTCAGCAAATGTACGGAAGACACAGAACTGGGGTCAGGGGTGGTGTTGGATGTTTCAGACCTTGGGAACTCAGAGGGGGCAGCAAGGGAGAAAGTTGTTACAGAAGAGATTTTTGAGGGGGGAAGGGAGGGGGGAAGCATTTCTACTTACAAGTAATTCTACCTCTCATACTACTTTTCTCCCCATTCTCTTTTCCAGTCACAGATCTGTGTATATATTCCATCTTAAGGCTATGCTCTGTGCATTTGACCAAGTGGCAAGATTATGCAGAGATGTGCCTTGTCCTTCAGGTGTCACAAGGCTCTTTGTTATTTTAGCTCTGGGTAGTTCTTTAACCTGGAGTTAGGTTTATTCATCTCCTGTGGCTGTGGTATCCTTGGTTCTACAGAAGAAGAGGCATGTGGAGTCCTTGGGGTTCTCTGAGCTTGGTTCTTTTCTT